GATCCCTACATCCTTCCTTCATTCACTCACTCATTTATACACTTTTTAAAGATACATATTGGGTGCCTGGGTGGCTCAGTCATTTTAGTGTCTGCCTTTGCCAGGGTCCTAGGATCGAGTCCTGCATCCGGCTCCCTGCTCAGTGGGGAGTCTACTCCTCCCTCTGCCTCTACACTTCCCTCCTGCTCATACGCTCTTGCAAATAAATAAATAAAACCTTTTTAAAAATTAAAAAAATAAAATGAAGATTCATATTTTGTTCCAAGTTTTACATTAAGGCACTAGAGATAAAGAGGCCTGTAGCCTCCATGATCTTACAGTCTAATGGAAAGAAAAACTAAGTATAAGAAGGTATAAAATTAAGTTTCCAGTTTAAGCACCCAAAAAAACAATACATATTATATGCGGAAGCAAGTGTGAGAGAGAAGTTCCTGGATTTTTATATCCTATAGAATAAATGCCATGATTCTTGAACCCCCTCAACCGCTTCGAGACTATAAAATAGGGGCACCTGGGTGGCTCAGTCCATTAAGCATCTTCCTTCTCCCCAGGTCATGATCCCAGGGTCCTGGGATTGAGCCCCTAATGGAGCTTCCTGCTCAGCAGGGAGTCTTCTTCTCCCTCTCCTCCTGCTTGTGCTCTCTGTCACATCTCTGTCTCTGTCTTTCTCAAATAAATAAATAAAATCTTTAAAAAGAGAGAGAGAGAGAGAGAGAATACAAAATAGGGAATGGAGGGGTAGTGAGATATTTATAAGCATATTTGGAGAAGAATGGTAAGAGATACCATATTTTCATCACAAGCTAAAAGAGAGGAAACTTCAAAGTGACCATGTGAATGTCAGTTGTTACTTCTATTCACATTAACAAGATAGGAAACAACACAAACACATGGAGTAACTCAATGACAGGACATGAGCGACTTCTTTTCTGAATCAGCTAATAATTTTCAAATACTGCAAGAATAAGTCTTTTCTTTCTTCTTTCTTTTTTTTCTTTTCATAATAAAACTGCTATGGACACAGGAAACTTTTAAGTCTTAACCAAATTGTAAACACTATCTCCATCACATTTTTAAACCTAGAGTAGACACTGAATAAAGCAATAAATCAAATTTTTATTTGTGGTATTGCCAATTTCTGAGGTGTAAATACTGCCATCATGGTAAATTTCAAGCTACCACATGCTGTGGATGAATGCAAATGGAGTTCAGAAGAGGTATGCAGTAGCATGCCATAACATAGTATCTCTACCATATGGATGTAAGAGATGTAAATAACCTCAACAGCATGGGTAATAATAAAATGTATTTAAATAATAAGGCAATGATGATTTTTCAGTATTTATTACATTGATTCCTCATATGATTTCATTGTAGGTTTATGTAATTTCCTTTTTAATAATGGCTATGATTAATAACTCCTTATAAAATTCCTGAAAAAGTAACAATGGGCTCTCACAAGCCAGTATAAGCCACCTCTTGCACACCATTGACTTTAAGTACATTGAAAACATGGGTTTCACTGTCCTAGCTGCCACTCTCAAGCTACTAAAATATGGATTTTCCTCTGTATGAAATTAGTAGTGACCTTTGGTACACCAGTCTCCTCTTCCTTTAATCCAGTGGATACCTGCTGGTCCTAATCTTACTTGGTTATCTTCTAGACAGATAGATAGAAAGAATTGGTCTTCTCCTTAAACCTTGAAATCTTCTCATCACTAGTTTTTCCAATCTCTTTGTCTTCATCCTACCTGTCTGAGGATTCCTTAGGTCTACTTTGAATGCTCTCCTTTCTCCATCAAATCCTTCAATGTTGGCTTTTCTGTGTACTGTCAGTCCTCATACCTTCTCATATTTCACACTGCTGCTGGAAGTCTCATCTACTCTCCTATCGCTGATAGTCAACACCAAATCTATTTCCACCACTACCCACATTTGCGATTGCTCCATGATTCCTTTTGCCCTAGAGTTTCACATAAATTTCAAATTCAAAATGTCCATAATAGATTTGTTTCTTTCTTTTGAAGTCTGTTTCTCCCTTTTAACCCAGTGACTTGAGGGTAGTGCCATTTACCAAACCACCTAACTAAAACCCTGAATGTCATTCTTTATTCCTCCTTTCCAGTAGATTCCAGCACCTATTGGGTCTGACCCTAATATCTCTACCAACTATTGCTTCTCTCTGTACCCACTGCTACTGATAAAATTTTAGTCTAATCACGTCTCCATGTTGTAATAACCTTCTAATTTCCTAACAATGATCCATCCTATACACTGATGCCTCTGTGATCTTTCTAAATCACAGATCCTTTAAGGGCTTCCAGGTGGCTTAGATCAGTGGTTCTCAACCATGGCTGCACAAAAGAATTATCTGGGATGATTTTTTTTTTTCAACCAACTTTATAAATGTATAATTTACACATAACAAAAGATACCTATTGTTAATATATAGTTCAGTGTGTTTTTAACAAATGTATATACCTGTGAAATCAGCACAAAATATAAAACATTTCCATCATCTCAGAGAGCTCCCATATGTCCTTTTCCCGACAAATTCCCCAAGCATATCCTTCCCTGAAGAGACAACTTTAAGCAACTACCAGCTTTCTACCCATAAAGATTAGTTTTGTCTGTGCTGGAATTTCATATACATTGAATCAGACAATATTTACTCTTTTGCATCTGGCTTCTTTTACCTGAGATTCTTTGGGATTTAACCATGGTGTGTGAATCCATAATATCTTCCTTTTTTCTGTTGAGTAGTATTCCATTGTGTGCATTTATCAAAATGCTATCCATTCATTTTTTGACGAACATTTGGATTGTCTCCTGTTTGGGGTTATTATGAATGAAGCTTCTATGAACATTTGGGTGCAAATATTTTTGTAAGCATGTTTTCATTCCTCTAGCGTGAATCTTAGGAGTGGAAATGCTAAGTCTTATAATCGAATCTTCAACTTTAGAAGAAACTATCTCCCAAAGGGGCTGTGCTATTCTCCATTCCTACCAGCACTGTGTGAGTGTTCCAGGCAGAAAGCCCGAGCAAACACAGTTCATCTTGCTTAGTTCCCTTCTTTGGGATATCTCAGACCTGTACTTCCTGTTACTCAATATCCAAAAACAATAGTTTCATGTACTTTGTCTAATTTTTTAATTGTTGGGAGAGGGAAGACAAGTCTAGTACCAGATACACTGTCATGGCTAGAAGCAAAGTCTACTTGTGGAGCATCTTTAAAAATATGAGCTTGGGGCACATGAGCGGTTCAGTAAGTTAAACATCTGCCTGTAGCTCAGGTCATGATCCCAGAGTCCTGGGATCAAGCCCCATATCAATCCTGCCTCTCCCTCTGCTTCTCCCCCTGCCTGTGTGCACGTGCTCTCTCTCTCCTTCTGTCTCAATCTGTCATGTAAATAAATAAATAATCTTAAAAAAAAATGAAAGAAAATTAAAACAAAAAGTATGAGCTTGAGTTCTACCCCATACAAATTAAATCTGAATTTCTGGGGTTAGGTGGGGAGGGTGAGGAGGGAGTTCTAATGTGGACTCTGATGTGCTGCAGCATTGGAGAATTCCTGGCTCAGAGGTAATGTTCAATCTCTTCACTAAGGCAGGATCTTTCAGAATCTATCCTAAGCCTACATCTCCTATCTAGGTCTGTACCCTACAACCCATTGTTATCTTTTGTCATTTCTTCTAAGCTTCAACCACGTAGTACTTCATCAACAAGGACATGGTATCTCAACCCAATGCCATTCCTTGTGGTCCCTTTTGGTTCAAAGTCTGCTGAAAACACTTATCTGGGGCACCTGGGTGGCTCAGTAGGTCAAGCATCTGCTTCATGAAGCTCAGGTCATGATTCCCAGGTCCTGGGCTGGAGTCCCACATCAGGCTCCTTGCTCAGCAGGGACTTGCTTCTCCCTCTGCCTTCTGCTTCCCCTGCTTGTGTTCTCTCTCTCTCTCGCTGACAAATAAATAAAACAGTTAAAAAAAAAAAAAAAGGAAGGAAGGAAGAAAAGAAAAGCAAAGCAAAGCAAAGAAAAGAAAACACTTTTCCTTTAAGGTCAGCCAAAATGTCTTGGCTCTATGGGACTTAAAGAAGAACCAGGGATTTCTAGGGCAGAAAGTTGTATTAAAAAGAATACTGGGACAACAAATGCCAGGCTTAGTATCTGGTACTGCCATTCACAACAGGTGAATCTAGCTGTTACTTATCATCTGATTTCCTTGGGTATAACACGATAATAGCAATGCTTAACTAACAGGGAGATAGATGAGATCACACAAGGAATGCACCTAGCATCCTGCACCCAGCAGGCACCAAAAGAATATCCTCTTTCACACCCCACATCTCATTCATAACATTTAATGCAAAGCTCTCTTGCAAATTGAATTTTATTATCTTTTACATCTCTCTTTTCCCCACTAGATTGTGAGCTTTATAATGACCAGGGCTACCTCTTTCAACCTTTACATCCCAGAGGCATAAAAATGCCTGGAATAAGGCAGGAGTTTAAACAAATCTCAGATTAATGGAGAGGGCTTAAGCAGTCTCCAGCTCTGATTACAAAGAGCTTTAACGATGTTTTCCATCCTCAACACCAGTTCACGCACTGACGGCGACGTACCACCCAGTCTTTGGAAGGTAAGATGAGAGAATTTGGCCAAGACTAGAAAAATAAGTTTGCAATTTGTATCAGACGATGCATCCAGAAGATGCTTTCATTGTTGAGTTATAAGAACCTGTAAGTCTGTGCTGCCCTCTAGAGCGGCCTACAGTGCCTTCAGGCGTGCTGAAAAGAGAACACAAGGTTTACGTAGACAGTCCCTGAGGTGAAATTCTCTGAGCCAGTTTCCTTTAAGGAAAAGAGAGATACAAAACTGGACGGCTGGCGCCGGAAGAAGGGGACGCGCGCCCCTTAAGGGGGGAAGTGGGGGAACGTAGGCACCGCCCCTCCCGCGGTTGCTAGGCAACCGGCCCCGGAAGGCGCGGAGGATGTGTCGGCGCAGGCGCCGGCGAGCGGGTGAAAGATGGCGGAAGGTGGCGGCCCCGAACCGGGGGAGCAGGAGAGGTCTTCTGGGCCGCGGCCCCCGAGCGCGCGGGATCTGCAGGTGCGGCGAGCAGCCGAGGGCGGGGCGCGGCGGCGGGTGACTGCGCGGAGGGGTGCGTGTCGGAGTCCTCTGCTGGCCTCGGCTGAGCCCTTGCCAGACCCCACCTGGGCACTGAATTGTGACTCCGGCATCGCAGGTCTCGGGCGGTGCATCGAACAGTGCTTTTCGAGGAAACAAGTGCCGCCCAACTCTCTGTCGCCCCGGTCTCATTCCCCCTCCACCCGATTTGCATTTTAAGAAGCAACTGTTCGTTTAGAATGGCATTGTGTTGGGGTCAGTTGAATGGTTCACTGGTTGGTACTTCCTTAGGAGACTTACTGTGGAAGAAAGCTTTACCGTGCCCATGAGAAATGAGGATCACTTTATAAGCAATAATGTGTGCTGGTTTGCTCTTTCTTGTCTTGTATGCTGTTTCTGTTTGGATTGCTTTTATATAAAAATGGTTCCTTTTTATCAGATAGCTTTTCCCTTTTAAAAGTGTGAGCTAAAGTATTCATCCTACGGCTGCACGCCTAGTTGTCAAAGCTACCGTCTATGAAACATTGCACAGAAGAAACAGCGAAATAAAATTTCATGGTGACATTAGTGAGCTAAATACGGATGCAGCAAATCTCGCTTTTTCAGATGCTTAACACTGCTTTGCTCACTGAGGCTTTTTTCCCCTGTCTCATAAGACCATTGATAAAATCAACAAGTAAACAATCATAAGGAACTGTGTAATTAAAAGTAGATGACACCGAATCTACCTGCCTTGGTAGAAAAGTTCTGTTACAGTTACACCTTTAATTCTACTTCTCTGAACAAGATTTGACCACCTGCCATGCAACATACTGCTAAACTCCAGGAATGCAGAGATGAATAGGACATCAAATCTATAGTTGGTGCTGGACACTATGGAAGGGGATTGAAGTGTAAGGCATTTCTATCTGTTTTTTGCAGAAATAATATATGACTATATTGACCGTAACATCTTAAGGTGGAGTATGATTGAATGCCAAATTAAGCAGTACATAAAATGAAGAATTCAAAGAATAGAGAGCTCAGTGTCAGTTAAAAGATGAATCGAATGCAGAATAATTCCAGTGCTTTTAAGTCAATTCAGTAGTAGTAAACAGACTCAAGAAATAGGAAGCTACCATCTGCCTCATCTTTTCTGTGGAAGACTACCATCACTAAGAGGGAACATGGCAGGTTGGGAAAAAATGGAGTTTCTGGTTAGACCTAACTTCTGTTTGCATCTCAGTTCTGTGACTTAGTAGGCTTGTGAATGTAAGAGAAGTGTCTTAACCTCTCTGATCCTCAGTGTCTTTATTTGTAAACTAGGGGTGATCTTGGTGGTGTCAAGGATGAAATATCCATGAAGTACCCAGGCACTCCCATATTATCCTGGCTCTGTACTTGCTTGGTAAATATTTGGTTCCTTTTCTTTAAAGGAGGAAAATACTGTAACTTTAAACTGGTTAGTCCATTCTGTTACAAATATATAACTTAATATCCTTTGTCTAATTTCATTCTATTCTTTAAATGTGAGAAATGAGAACAGCTTAGCTAGTGATTGCCTAATGCTTGGCAAATTTACAGACTTAATCCAGCAAATTAATATATGATTAATAGTTGGAGTTATTTTGGTAGATGTCCCTTGAAAGAATGCTTCCTCTTCACCATCAGTTAGAGGATAGAGTTTGTTTTTTTTTTTTTTTTCCCAGATTATTTATTTATTTATTTATTTGACAGAGAGAGAGAGAGAAAGCACAAGCAGGTTTAATGGAAGAAGGAGAAGCAGGCTCCCTGCTGACCAGGGAGCCCATTATGGGGTTCAATCCCAGGACCCCAGGATCATGAGCTGAGCTAAAGGCAGACGTTTAACTGACTGAGCCACCCAGGTGCCCCGGGGATTTTTTTTTTTTTTAATTACTTATCTACTTCTGGTAGTTAGTTTGGTAGATAGATGACTAATTTCTTACAGATGTGATTTGGATATCAGATACTTTAAGTGTTGGTAATGTTTCCTTTGGAATTTAAAAAGAATCTGAAGAACTTGCTAAGAAGCCTGGAAATAACCAAAGTGATGATGTGTGAAGAAATAAAGTATGTTTGAAAGAAATAGAGTAGGTTTAAATGAAATAAGTAATATTCTTCTCCCTGACTAGTTTTTTGAATAGTGATTACTATTTGATTATCTTGTTACTGTTTCATCTAGCCATGTATAAATATACTTTTCAGTAAATACTTCTATCTGGACAGCTTGCTCTAAGAGTCAGTCATTCACAGTATTATAGAGGAAAAGGGAGATATATTACTAATTGGAACAAGCAAAAGATAGCCCTGAGTATGTATATCTTAGCTGCTAGGCAGTGTAGGGTTTTTCGGCATCTAAATCAGGAGACATTCCTCATTTAGCACAGGAGGAAACATGGATGGTTGTCTTCCAGAAAACCTCCCAGCACTGTGAGCCTCTGACTTAGAAACTACACAAATCTCCTGTGGATATCAAACCAAGAGCAGATCATAGCTCACTTCATCCCCCCAAATTGGGAAATATTCAATGGGAAGGTTTAGGATGGTATTGTTAGTGACAGTGATCACCCTAAAAACCTAAGTGTTCTCTAGTCTTTCTGAACGTTTTCGGAGACTTTTCTCTCTCCTGGTTCCCCTCAGTCCATCTATACACAAGGGTTTAGTAGTTGGTTAACATATTTAGTTGTATGTTTCTGTCCCAGTTTTCCTCCAGAATAATATCAAAAGGAAAAGATTTCTGTTCTTAATTCTATATTTCCATACAAGTTGGAGTTGGTGGGTAATTAGTGATAGACTTTAGTACTTATTAGGGTTAGGATGGGGTGAGGTAAACAGTGGCATTCTGTAAGTGAGAAAAGAATAAGAATGTCTGATACTGTGTTACAGTTGCCATGAGTATCCTAATCCTGTTGGACATCAGTAGTCCCCAGTATTGGTTGTCAATTTTAGCATGCATCCGAATCATCTGAAAGGCTTGACGCAGCACAGATTGCAGGGCCCTACCTGAGTCTTCATTCATTTGGTCTGGGGTGAGTCTGGCGCATTTGCATTTTCAGAGGTTCCCAGATGACGCGGATGTTGCTATTCTATATTTTTTTAAAAATCCGTATAATACCTTCTGGGCAGGTGTCACTCTAGGAATGAGAATTCCGGTAGTTTTAATCTTTTGCTATATACTTGATTTTCTCCTTCTCAGTTACTTTGCTTTCAGGTTTCTTTTCATGTTCTTCACATTTCGAATTCTAGAGCAAAGATTATCAGTACTTACGTACTTTATTCCTTCTGCGTAATCGAAATAGCTTCATAATCTAGTTAGCCTAAGGGACCCACTGTCCTGATAATTCACAGTGATTCATTACTTCACAATACTCATATTCTTGTCTCTTTATTTGACGAATATTTAGTTGTTGTTCTGTTCGTTTTAACCAGTACTTTATTTTGATCAGTTTAAATAATCGTTTCCTCTTCTGTGGTATCTTTGCTGTGTCAACTAATATAAATTGAATTTCTTTGTAATATTTACTGATGAACTTATACCATATGATGCTGCAGGGACATCATGAATCCCAGCATTAATTCCCTCTAAATATCATTCATTTTCGTCTTAGTAATGCACCATTAATAACTAAGACCTTTTCAAGTAGGTGGACTCCCTGCTCAATTACAATTTTCTCCATATTCCTAATTTGTGAATATATATCAATATTTTGTTAATATATATTTCATACAATCAAAACACATTATTTGCTTTATTAATTTATTTTACAGAAAAAAATAGTTGATTGACAGGATTTGTACAAGTCTTGAACAAAAAACAAACAAGGTACAAAACTATATAGAAGATGTAATCTCAGCTTTAAAATCTACAGCTTGGGGCGCCTGGGTGGCTCAGCTGGTTAAGTGTCTGCTTTCAGCTCAACCAAGACTCACATCAGTCCAGTTCCCTGTTCAGCTGAGAGTCTGCTTCTCCCTCTGCTCCTCCCCTTCCCTGTGTTTATGCTCTCTCATGCTGTCAAATAAATTTTAAAAAATCTGCAGCTTTATTTATTACCTACATAATTCATCATGAATTTGTTGAGTATCCATGAAGTATTATATTAGAAACAATCTAGGAAATCTAAATTATAATAGGAGGGATAAAATAGTGAGAAAAGTACATAAGCAATGATAATATAATGTTTAATATAAATGTTAATAATAGACTAGCATATACTATGAGGAGTTAGGAAAGAAATATCATTTAGTTAAGGAAACTAGAAAAGGCTTTGTGAAGGATGGCTGAAGTGCCTTTGCAATATAGGTACCATTTCCATTGATGGGATTAGACATCACGTAAAAGTAATTCATAGAGCTGAAGTAATCAGCTCAGGAGGAACTTCCATAAAGGAATACTGTTCATAGCAGATTTCAGGGAGGTAAAATTTCTGAAAACTTTGGACTCAGGTAGTCAGGCAGAATGTCCGTCTCCGTCTCATTTGTTTTGTTTCATTTTCGAGGGGTTAGGGTGGGGAAGAGACTATAATATGTAGATAACACTGAAGAAGGAAATCTTGAGGCAAATGAAACACTGATAATAGTCATTGTTAAACATTTTTTAATTTCTTCTAGTAATAGAGCACTTGCCTTGTGCTTTACATGCATTCTGTGATCCTTAAAGTGATACTTTAAGATAATTATTTTAAACAGACATTTAAAGATGAGGGAACCATGGCTCAGAGAAGTTAAATAACATGTCCAAGGCACACCATAGGAGCCCAAGTTAGGATTTTAATTCAATTCTTTTAGATTACAAAGCACTTTCATAATTAGGATAGCTAACAAAATTGCCATGTGAGAAATATGAAAAGTTGATGGAGGTGTATGGGAATGGGATAGAGAGTAAAAATTAGGGAGGAAAATTAATTCTTTTGTTTTTGTTTTTCATGTGTGGATGTTTTAAAAGTTGTCTAATACAATCTTCAAAGAATTGACTTTGTCCCAATTCCTCTTTTCCTTCTAAGCAAAGAAGCCCTGGATATAGTTTTCATATCTCTTGAATTTCTAGAAGGAGCACTTTATCTGTTTATTAGGGGGGATTTTGTTTTTTGTTACTTTTTTTTTCCCAAAAGATTTTCTGAAAATTATGATCATGCCAATTACGGGAGCATTGAGGGAAGTTTTTGAATTGTTGTCCAAGAGAGAACAAAATAACTTAGTGCTGAAATATAATGACTTTTCAAAAGTCCAATTTCAAGAACTGTATTGTGTTTATTTCATTTTAAAGGTACCCAGCCATATATTTAGAATGCATAATTTGGTAATATTACTTTCTAAAACTTATATAAACCATATATATAACACATTGTCTTATATTTTTAAAAGTTCATGTTCCTACACTTGATGAAATTTGTGTGTCAGGTAGACTTTTAAATAGAATAATTTTGAAATTATTTTATGTGCTTGGTTTTGAAAAATTGAATAGCTAAATGAAAAAATTTTTATGAGATTTGATGAGAGCAGGCTGACATTAGTGTGAAATATCTTCAACTATTTTTTTTTCAATTCTAGGAAAATTGTAGGCTCAACTTTCAAAATGATCTGTTACCAAATACAGTTTTTGAAACAGTTAAATAATTAATTGAAAATAATTGGGCAGTTATTGTAACTTCAATATATTCCAGTATTTTGGTTAATTTTATCAAGTGAGAGATACATTGGTTTTATTTTGGAAGAGGGTCATCTGAAACAGCACCCTTTATTTCTCATTAGAAATTTACACTACACAATCACATGTTCTAGTCATAATTTCTACTTTTGTAGAATAGTTTAGTCCTACTGTTACACTTTATAACAAATTTGTTGTTTTATAGTTGGCCTTGGCAGAATTATATGAAGATGAAGTGAAATGCAAATCTTCCAAATCTGATAGACCTGAAGCTACAGTCTTTAAAAGCCCACGAACACCACCTCAGAGGTAAGTTTTGTTTTGGTTGTAAACACTGTATTTCTTTTTAGTTCACCAATTCTAAATTATTTTAAATGGTCTTGGGAATTTTGTTTAAAACTATGATTTCTAAAATAAATATTATTTAGATAGTACTCCTAAAATGGTAGTAGTCAGAAAGCTAAAAGAAACGGAAAAGTTGGGATGCCTGGGTGGCTTAGTTAAGCATCTGACTTTGGCTCAGGTCTTGGGTTCGAGTTTCGCATCAGGCTATTTGCTCAGCGGGGAGCCTCCTTCTCCCTCTGCCCTGCCACTCATCCTGCTTGTGCTCTCTTTCTCTGACAAATAAGTAGGATCTTAAAAAAAAAAAAAAAAAGAAGAAGAAGAAGGAAAGAAATAGAGAAGTTATCTTAAATACCTAATACTTCAGTAGACATCATAAAGACATGTACACTGAATAGTACTTTTCTTAGACACAGTGGTTCTTTTTGAGTCATAGGATGCATTGAGGATCTGACAAAAGCTACAGCCCCTCTCCCCACAAAACAGCATTTATGCACAATTTTATCAATTGTTTTTAAGGATTTGTGTTTCTGAAAACCCACTCATGGAGCCACTATGTGCCTTTTGCCCTCCATTTAAGAATCTAGAACCCAGGGCACCTGGGTGATTCAGTTGGTTAAGCCTCTATCTTTGCTAAATTCATGATCCCAGGGTCCTGGGGTTGAGCCCCACATCCATCTCCCTCCTTGGTGGGGAGCCTGCTTCTCCCTCTTCCTCTGCCCATCCCCCAACCCCCGCCCTGACTCAGGCTCTCTCTCTCACTCTCTCTCACTCTCTCAAATAAATAAATAAAATCTGGAAAAAAAAAAAAAAAAGAAGAATGTAGAACTTCAGGAACCTGTCTGTTTTCACTAAATGATGACACATCTAATAAGTGATCTCTATATAGTATTTGCTACTGTTAAAATCCCTGAACTAGAAAGAGAGCCAGCAATGAGGATTCAAGAGCTAGGTATACTTTATTACAATGAATTTTCTTGTTTTTAGGAATATTTTCATTAATGTCTTTTTTTTTTTTTTTTTAAGATTTTATTTATTTGAGTGAGAGAAAGTGAGAGAGAGCGTAAGAGGGAAGATCAGAGGGAGAAGCAGACTCCCCATGGAGCTGGGAGCCTGATTTGGGACTCGATCCCGGGACTCCAGGATCATGACTTGAGCCAAAGGCAGTAGCTTAACCAACTGAGCCACCCAGGCGCCCTATTAATGTCTTTTTAATACTGCAAATCTCCTTACTGGGGAGAAATTTCGAATTTTTCCATTATGTCATATTCACAGAAAGTCTATCATTTTTACCAGAAATTTAAAAATTCACTGGAAATCATCTTTCTTTTTTGTGTGTCACTTTCCACTTCCTTTTTTCTGTAGGGGAGATAAAAATGACATACCTTTTTGAACCTGAATGAGAAGAAAGAATATTAATTTTTTCCCAAACTTTTTGTTTTGAGACCCATAGGTTATCAAAAGATTAGTAAAATGAATATATGCTATATATGCTTCACCTGTATTCACCAGTCGTTAGCATGTTACATTACATTCATGCAAGTGCTCTTTTACTCAACTATTTGAATGCGAATTGCAGCCATCATAATACTTCATCCTTAAATACTTCAGTTTGCATCTCCTAAGAAGAAGCACATACCCTTTGTAGCCCTGATAACATATTACACCTTAGAAAATGAACAGTGATTTCATAAAATCATTTAATATGTAGTCCCGTAGTCAGATATGTCTTTAAGCCTTTTTCGGATTTGGTATCTAACCAAGGGCTATGCATTCCTCTTGATTATACCTGTTTTGAATCTCAATCCAGAGCATTCTTCCCACCTTTTTGTTGTTTGCTCTTAGCTTATTATATAATCTAAAATTTATTAAATTGAGAGATACCTGGATGGCTCAGTCAGTTGAGCCGCAGGCTCTTGAATTCATCACAAGTCATGATATCAAGGTTGTGGGATTGAGCCCCTGTTGGAGTCTGTGCTAAGTGCAGAACCTACTTGAAATTCTCTCTCTTTCTCTCTGTCCCCCACTGTTGCTCCCCCTGGTCTTTCTCTCTCTCTCTAAAATACATAAATCTTTTAAAAATAAAATAAAATTTATTAATTGACATGCATTTTCATTTGGCAGTGGGCCCCACAAATTATGTAGCCAGTCCTAGATGCAGCCACATTATGGACAACCTTGAAAACCAAGAGGAGTTGTATTTGTGTAGAAGGCACTGGAACACCACTATGTGTTTTTAAATGTAAATTTTGTGATAAAAACTATATAGTGATAAAAGCTTTGATTCTAGACATAGATACACCTCTGTTCTTTTTTTTTTTTTAAGATTTTATTTATTTATTTGATAGAGAGAGACACAGGGAGAGAGGGAGCACAAGCAAGGGGAGTAGGGGAAGGAGAAGCAGGCCTCCCACCGAGCAGGGATCCCGATGCAGGGCTCGACCCTAGGACCCTGGGACCACAACCTGAGCCTAAGGCAGAGGCCCAACCCACTGAGCCGCCCAGGTACCCCGATACACCTCTGTTCTACTATTTTCTCTCTCTGTTCTAATAAGGTCTTGCCAATGGACAATTTTTTTTAAATTGCCTAAGCTTCAGTTTTATCTGTAAATCAGGGATTATACCATTGTTAGGAGGATTAAATGAGCACATAGTTACTCCTTGATAAGTGTTAACTACTATTATTACAAGTTTTTAGAAAAATAGAACTGGTGATACAGTGCAAAATTAATAGTAATGGGGAGAACAAGATAAGGAGAGAAATTAAGAAGAAAACAATTATGTTAATCTAAAGAATGTGCTGATAAAATTTTAGATTAAAATTGCGTCAATGGAATGAAGGAGAAAGATGAAATCAGTGTGGGACACCTCCAAAGAATTTATTTTATTTTGTTTTTCTTTTATAAAGTTTCTTTTTTTATTTATTTATTTGACAGAGATGAGAGGCAGGCAGCGGGGAGCGGGAAGGGAAGCTGGCTCTCTGCTGAGCAGAGAGCCCGATGTGGGGCTCAATCACAGGACCCTGAGATCATGACCTGAGCTGAAGGCAGAGGCTTTAATCCACTGAGCTACCCAGGCGCCCCCAAAGAATTTATTTTAGAAACTTGATGACATGGGATATAGAGAGCAAGTGAATGAGAAATTGAGACCTATAGGTTCGTAATCTGGTGTGCAGGAAAAAGTGTGATTGTTAATGGGAAGGTTATGGCAGTAATACAGGTTTAGTTTTGGAGAGATGAACTTGATTCAGTGGGTACTTTTAAATCGAGTCCCTCAATGGGGTGCCTGGGTGGTCCAGTCAGGTCTGACTCTTGGTTTGGCTCAGGTCATGATCTCAGGATCACGAGATCCAGCCCAGCGTTGAGCTCCACATTCAGCAGGGAGTTTGCTTGAGACTCTCTCTCTCCCTCTGCTCTTCCCCTGCTCACTCACACTTTCTCTCCCTCCCTAAAATAAATAAATCTTTGAAATAATTAATTAATTAATTAATTAAGCACCTGACTATCAGTCACAGAGTGCTAAAAACGTATCTGAGAGTCATCCACAGAGGAGGTTGTTATATGTGGGAGTGCACAAATGTTTTGATGATCAAAGGAGTTTATGTAGAGAGCGAGGGTCAAGGATAGATGCGTACTTAATTATAAAAGAGGAGAAATGGATGGATTGTGTACCCAAATACAAAAGGAAATATAAATGGGAAAACAAGATATAATAAGGAAAATAATAAAATGTAATATAAAAAGAAAACAATAAAACTTCTGGAAGAAAATAGAGCATCTCCCTGACCTTCAGGTAGGCAAAGATTTCTTAAACAGGAAATAATATCATGGGCCATAAAGGAGCTAGTAAATCTTTTCCCACATCAGATTTTTTCCTGTAAGGTCTCTAACCATGGCTGATGTAAGAAGGAACTATATAGTTGTACTTTCCAGAATAGAGACATGGGGCAGGGAGGGAAAGAGCTACAGCAGGAAACTTTTCCTTTTGTTTTCCTTTCCTCTTCCTCTTCCCTTTCTCATAGCTGCCTTCCATCAGAGCTCCTCCTCATACTGCCGCTGTGGTAGGAAGCAGCTATGGTATTGTTTGGCCTTGCTTGCTACACCAAACCCTCTGAGTCTAAGCTTGGCAGGAAGACTTCCACTGACTCCTGTGTTGGGTAAACTCACCTCTGTACTTGCCCAGTACACTAGCATGGACAACAGCCCACCCCACCCCTGCCCCCAGCAGTTACAAGTTAGTCTTATGTTCATAGGATTCTGCTGTTGGATTTGGTCTCCATGTGGATTTGTTCTCAAGGTGGATGTTTCTTTACTTACACTGAATTGAGAGCTACCCGCCTTTCCCTCTTTCCTGTTCAGTTTTGCATGTACTAATTTTGCAGAAAGTCTTGAAGATGATCTCTATTCCTAGTCTCTGGTGCTGATAGAATTTTCCTTCTTCGTTTTGTGAGACAATTCAGTGCAAATTTGGAACTGGATTGGAGGGTATGGGTGATTAAACATATGAGCTTTGATTGTTACCTTGTTCTGGCAGTCTCCATGTTGATATTTTGTAGCTATATTTTTTGATATTCTTAACTGAAAAAAATCTTGAAAGATAAAAGTAGATGAAATCTTATGTAAAAAAATTAGGTGAATTTTTATGTTCCCTAAGACCATTAGGAAGTTGGAGTCAGACTAGAAATTAGTCACTGTGTAGCTAATACACTGAAAAAAATTGTTTGTGGTCTAAATTATTTACCTTTAACATAGGGAAATTATACTATTTGAATCTAAAAATCTCTAGGGAATAAACCCACTATTGTGGCTCTTCACTAACTAGGTTGCTACTGAATATGGATTCCTCGGGGGAACAGACTTATTTCTGCTTGTCAATACTGCTTTGACCACCACACCAAAAGTGCCTAAATTGTGCAAGAGATGCATTTGATAAGCAGTTACAGAAGGGGGAGGGAAGAAGTGACAAGCCAGTTCTCATGTGGAATGCTGAACTTAACTGCCATAACTTCCACAAACTCCATGAGGAAGTGTATGAACTATTTACTATTCCATTCCTTAATCCCATTTTGAAAATTAAATATTTCCACAGAAGTCATAGATATGGTTCTTTGTTTTTTTAAGATTTTATTTATTTTTTTGACAGACAGAGATCACAAGTGGGCAGAGAGGCAGGCAGACAGAGGGGGGAGCAGGCTCCCCGCCGAGCAGAGAGCCCGATGCGGGGCTCGATCCCAGGATCCTGGGATCACGACCTGAGCTGAAGACAGAGGCTTTAACCCACTGAGCCACCCAGGCACCCCGATATGGCTCTTTTTAAATAAAGTTACTCCCTAAGACTCTGTAGCTTTTTAATTTAAAGGAGTTATGTTTGTTTTCTAAGTTTCTGTTCATGAACTTTAATGTTTAAAGGTTCTATTCAAGTGAACATGAATACAGTGGATTACATATAGTTCGACCTTCAACTGGGAAAATTGTGAATGAACTTTTCAAAGAGGCAAGAGAACATGGGGCTGTCCCTCTGAATGAAGCCACAAGAGCCTCTGGTGATAACAAATCTAAGGTAAGTGCTAAATTTAAAAACTAAATTTTATATATATAGATATAGATATATAGATGTATTGTTATGGATTTTTATATTATTTGCAGACATTGTTTTTCTAACTATAAATGTCTATTTTAAGCATTCACTCTGTTTTTATAAGATTACAGCATTTCTATTAATGATTGAAAGTTGCAGCAATTTTTTACATCTCTGTGAAACCTTTCTGTTTACCTTTTTTTTTTTTAAATAATTATAGATTCATGTGAAATTGCAGAAAGAACACAGGTCCTGTGTATTTTTCACCCAGTTTCCTCTAACAGTTATTAACATAATTGTAGTACAGTATCAAAGCCAAGATTTGACATTGATACCGTGTATGTTTACAGTTCTATCATTTTCTCACATCCATAGATTTGTATAATTGTCAACTCAATCAAGATGCAGTTCTGTCATCACAAAGATCTCCTTCATGGTGTACCCCATTTTAGTCACACCCTCAGCCCTCTCCCCCATCATCTCTAACCTCTTGCTACCCTAATCTGTTCTTATCTCTGTGATTTTGTAATATTAAGAATGTTATACAAATGGAATCATATAGTATGTGACCTTTGGGATTGGCTTTTTTCACTCAGCTTAATGCCCTGGAGGTCATTAGAATTACTGAGTGTCTCAGTAGTTCATTCTTCGTATTCCTGATAGCACTCCATGGTATGGAGAACCACACAATTGGTTTAATCATTTGCTTATTGAGGGATATTAGAGGTGTTTCCGGTTTAGAACTTTTACAAATAAAACCACTGTGAGCAACTGTATACAGGTTCTTGTATGGATACTAGTTTTCATTTCTCTGGGATAAATGCCCAAGAGTCCAGTTGCTGGGTCATTTGCTAAGTATACGTTGGTTTCTTAGAAACTGCCAAACTCTTTTCTGTAGCGAGTGACAGATCCAATTTCTCCATTCTTGCCAGCATTTGCTATTGTCACTATTTTAAATTGTAGCTATTGTGATAAGTGTGTAGTTATAAATCATTGTGGTTTTAATTTGCATTTTCCTAATGGCCAGTGATGTTAATTAGCATGTTCCTAATGTCTAGTGATATTGAACATCTTTTCTTGTGTTTATTTGCCATTATCTTTCTTACCCCTTTCAGTAAAATGACTTTGGCCTATTTTCAAATTGGATTGTTCCTGTTGAGTTTTGAGAATTCTTTATAATAATTTCAATAGTTTTGAGTCCTTTATCAAATATATGGATTACAAATATTTTCTTCTAGATTGTAGCTTGTCTTTTCATCCTCTTACCAGGGTTTGTCACAGAACAAAAGTTTTTAATTTTGATAAGGTCCAGTTTATCTTTTTTCTTCCTTATGGATTGTTCTTCTGGCCTCTTACCTAAGAACTCTTCATCTAAACATCTAAACTCAAAGTTTTCTCCTGTTATCTAGAAAAGTTTTATAGTTTTACATTTTACACTTAAACTTGTGATCCATTTTGAGTTAATTTTACATAAGGTTTACATCAAGGTTTGTTTTTCTATTTATGGGTGTCTACTTGCTATACCACCATTTTTTGAACAGGCTCTTCTTCCTCCATTGAATTGCTTTTGTGCCTTCATAAAATTACATACATTTTTATACAGCTCTTATAACTATCAACTGACATAGTACTGGTTTACTGAGGAAGACATGAAGACATCAAGTGTCTTTTTGTGTGTAATTGTCATAATATTCTTAAAATTAACATTTTCAGCCCGAGTTTCTGCATCATAATCACATAATCACCCATATAGCCTCTGGTATTATGGTTCCGTAAGTTTCTGGTATGCCTAGGCATGTGTCTTTTGAAAAAGCCTGTCTGGTGATTGTTGACAGACCTCCAACTGTTGCGAACCATTGCTGAGAATCACTCTTCTAATGAAACATAAATTTTAGTTTTCATCTTGTTACTGACTAACAGCTTACAATTCTCTTTCTGTTAAATCTAAGGTAATTTGCGTTCTTGCAGGTTCTCCGACTCTGTAAGAAAAATGTGGAATTGACATATTGATATATTTAGTTGATATATTTAGTCTATAGAAAAAGCAGTATGGTCATTAAAAGCTCATTTATGATATGCATGGTGATTAAAAGGAATGGCATTTTTACCTCATGAGGTACCTTCCTGAAAAATAGAAGACCTTGTGATCAGTATAGTAAAACAAAACATACAGTCATAGTTGATTGTTCCAGTTGAATAAAAGCAGCTTATAAAATAGTTATGGAATATTTCTTCAGGGTACTTTATACCTATTTACAAAATTCTTCCTTTACACGTGTAACTGTTACTTACTTTGTGAAATACGTTTTAAACATAATTTTTATGATAAAACATCATAAAATATTAGTGATAGCTTTTTAAAATCTCTTTATACTTTAAAATATATATTTTGGTATATGACTGTATTTTTTAATTTAAGAATGGCCTAAATTATTTCAACTTCTGAGTCACTAATGTTTTTATGGGGAGAAACATAGTTTCTTCCTTGAGTATACCCCTCTGTAACATAAAACCTTCATTTTAATATAAAATTTTCCTGGAAAGTATAAGCTAGTTTGGCTAATTGTAGTTGATCTGGTTTTCAAATATATCACACATTATCATAATATTTTGCCCTATAAACCATAGTGAATTTTGAACTCATTTGCTGTGTATTTCAGTCATTTACAGGTGGAGGATACAGATTGGGTAATTCCTTTTGTAAGCGATCTGAATACATCTATGGAGAAAATCAATTGCAAGATGTAGGTACAGTAACCAAAATGAAAAGCTTTAGATATTTGCCTCTAGTTATTACTGTTTTTAAATTTAAAAATTAGTGATATAAATATAATCTATATATATTTTTCTGTTATTTTTGGAAACATGGATTTTAAAATGACTAATGTGTAAGCTTTAGTCTCAAGTTTTATATTTTGCACCTCAGTTGTGCCTTGCACTTAAATTGTAAATATCTTCTATATGTTGAAAGAATATATGATTTACTGTCAGAATGAGCTTTATTTACATACAATAATAATTATTATAAGTAGTATACTGTTAGAGAATTAGCTGAGTTGTAAACAAGGAAACTCCTAAGGTCATTCTTTGTTTTTGCGTTTTAAAATTTGGAATTATAATTTCATTTAAACATGTTTACTTAAGCCTTAGGGTGTCACTGAAATTCTGGCTTACCCCTTGACATAAATATTTAAGCCCTGTGTAGCAGAAAAGAATATAGGTACAGTTGAAAGAGAAAAATGGATGTGGAGTAGCAGCTGGATGCTCTCATTGCTTTCATTTTTCTCAATGAACCAGAATAATTGTACATCACGGCCAGGATCTAGCTTTGGCATTTCAGCCATTGTCGATTTGTTAAGCCACATACAAATCTGCTGAGCAAATACACTTGCTTTCATTTGCATCTTTATTTTAACAGTAACTAAAGTAATATGAATAACACTGCATTTTAAATAAAGTAAGTGGTTTATGTTGTGAATATGTTGTGAAATACCACATAAGATTTGAAGCTTAAAATTATTTGATGCAGGTGGATTCTTTTATTTCTTTATCTTTTTTCCTATCTTCAAAAGGTTCAGATTTTGCTTAAACTGTGGAGCAATGGTTTCAGTTTAGATGATGGAGAACTGAGACCTTATAATGACCCACCAAATGCTCAATTTCTGGAGTCTGTTAAAAGAGGGTAAGATATATTACTTGTATTCTATTTGTTACTTAGGGTGGGACTTTTTTTCTTAAGATACTGGAATATATTTTATAAGTGATTGCTGGGGGGAAGGGTATTTTTAAGTATCTAAAGGACATGTTGCTATTCATAAGTCTTTGGTTCTTAATTTGATGGAGGGGGCAGTAGACACTGGTCACTTTCAAAATATGATCAAGCGATGGTCCGTTCTGAGAAGAAACATCTTCATGTAATAAATCAGTACAGTTGATTAGCCTGTAGCTGCCTCCCCACTAAGCCACTGGCCTGCTCACTGTTAACAGGATGCCTTTCATTGCGTGTGTGCCTGAAAGTCAGCACATTATATTAGAAATCTTTTAAAGTGGCATGACTGCTAGCAGAAGATTTCAGGTTAGTTTGAAGTTACGATTTGTGAAAGTCAACCAGATATACAGTGCTCTGACCGATGGAAAGAACATCATAGCTCAGCTCTTCTTGCTAGAGGATGAAAAGTCAAGTGATTTTGTTAGGATTATAAAAGCTTTTCTGCATTATGCTTTCACTGGCTGACAATGCAATCATTCCTAAGTAGAAATACAACCAAACAGAAGGTTGGTGATGAACTGGAGATTTAAGAAGCAGTGAAGGGACCAGAGTAGAAGGTTATACTCCATTCAGGAACTGAAGCTGGGACTTTTCCATGTGATGCATATATATCCAAGGAGAGTAGCTGAAGTGGAGTGGAGGTGAAACTAGCATAAAATCTGGATTTGAATTCTACAAAGATAAGGTCAAGATACCAAAAAATGGCAAGAAATGCTGTAAGCAATATGCTGACGTCATTTGAGAAAGGTGGGAAGCTGTCCTAGGAGGCAGTATGTGGTGGTGGTAAATATAAGGAAATAATAGTTTAAGTCGGTGTTGTGGACTTGGAAACCTGCAGTCACTGGGAAGAGCTGGGAGTGACTGTTTAAGGGAGGTGTTTGTTCATCTGCTAAGGGAAGATCAACATTGCTGTTGAAATTGATGCTTATTTCAAGATGTTAAAAGACAAGAGTGTATTGATGATGGATGTATTATAATGTAGATCAAAACTCATTTATTCTTAAATGAAAATAAGCCATAATCTTTGTGGGCAGTGTCCAAGCAGTCCTGGTGTCCTAAAAGAGGTTTTGTTTTTGTTTTGTTTTTTTACTATATCCTGAAGTATAAATTATGAGCAAGAACAATTTTTGAAAAGACTCCTTGAAAAAATGATTGACGTCAGATAGTGGTTGTCAACTGTAGAATCACTGTCCTGTACTTATGACAAATATTGAGTAACACCATCTTCACTGTCCTCGAAGAACTCGTAGATAATATAATCTGTCCATGCATATTATTTTCCCAAAAAAAGATAAAAATTTCATCTTAAATATATTGAAATAAAATAATTTATCATAAAATTGTATGTATTTCAGTTTATAAATGCTTTGGTCTGACCACACCAGAGCATAATAAAGGTAATCAGATAGTTTGTACCTATGTGCAGTCTAGCATTTCTCAAGAAAATGTGACAAACATAAAAACAGAATAATGAGGTATGTGAGGTTGGCAACGTAATTACTGTCGGTAGTGTTGCAGTCAAGGACTTGATAATGTTCCAAACAAAACAAAGTGCAGTCTTCTCTGTTTATATGGTACACGTATTCCTGAAAATTTTATAGTGTATTAATAAAATGCCCCCCCCCACCAAAAAAAGGTTTTTTGCTTCTTTGGAAAACAGACTCTAAGCCTTAAATTTTAGGATCAGACATTACAGACACTGGTGTCATCCTTGCACAACTCTAGCAGGGCATTCGGTGGTTCTGTGGAACCCAAGACAAGACTTTTTATTAGGCAAGATGAATCCCAGTGGCAGTGCTTCTTGTATTTGGATCCCAACCCTGAATGACAGCAGCACTCATGAATCACACAACGATCAAAGACCACCTATCCAAAAAAAAAAAAAAAAAGACCACCTATCCATTTTCAAAACTTCTTCCACGGAGTTTAGAAATAAATATCTGCATTAACTATTATGTCCTTATAGGAATTTTCTAGTGCTTATTTAGGTATAAATTGCTATCTTGCAATTTGGCTTTCTAAATGTTAAAAGCCCTCCCAAGATCATTGTGACAGCAAAAAGTCCCTATAGTGAGAATCACTAGGAATAAGGTGATGCGACTTTTTTAAAATTTTAATTCCAGTATAGTTAACATACAGTGTTATATTCATTTCAGATATACAATATAGTGATTGAGTGATTCTATGCATCCCTGAGTGCTCATCAGGACAAGGGCAGTCCTTAATCCCCTCACCTATTTAACCCATTCCCCCACACCCATCCCTAAGATAACCATGAGTTTGTTCTCTGTAGTTAAGAGTCTGTTTCTTGGTTTGTCTCTCTTTTTTTTCCTTTGCTCGTTTGTTTCTTAAATTCCACAGATGAGTGAAATCATATGGTACTTGTCTTTCTTTGACTGACTGACTTATTTTGCTTAGTATTATACTCTGGTTCCATCCATGTCATTGCAAATGGCAAGATTTCATTCTTTTTTATGGCTGAATAATATTCCTGTGCATGCGTGTGTGTGTGTGTGTGTGTGTGTGTGTGTGTGTGTGGCACATCTTTTCCATTCATCAAACAGACACTTGGCCTGCTTCCATATTTTGGCTATTGTAAATAATGCTGCTATAAATATAGGGATGCATGTCATCCCTTTGCATTAGTGTTCTTGTATTTTTTGTGTAAATACCCAGGAGTGTAATTGCTAGATCATAAGGTAGTGACTTTAACTTTTTGAGGAACCTCCGCACTATTTTCTACAGTGACTGTACCTGTTTGCATTCCCACCAACAATGCAAGAGGGTTCCTTTTTCTCCACATCCTCATCAACACTTATCTCCTGTGTTTTTGATTTTAGCTATTCTGACAGGTATGAGGTGATACCTCAAATGACACAAAGAAATGGAAAGACATTCTATGCTCATGGGTTGGAAGAACAAATTTTGTGAAAATATCTGTACTACCAGGCAGTCCCTATCAAAATACCAACAGCATTTTTCACAGAAATACAACAGACAATCCTAGAATTTGTATGGAATGACGAAAGACACAAAGAAATGGAAAGACATTCTATGCTCATGGGTTGGAAGAACAAATTTTGTGAAAATATCTGTACTACCAGGCAGTCCCTATCAAAATACCAACAGCATTTTTCACAGAAGAGCCAGCAATGAGGATTCAAGAGCTAGGTATACTTTATTACAATGAATTTTCTTGTTTTTAGGAATATTTTCATTAATGTCTTTTTTTTTTTTTTTTTAAGATTTTATTTATTTGAGTGAGAGAAAGTGAGAGAGAGCGTAAGAGGGAAGATCAGAGGGAGAAGCAGACTCCCCATGGAGCTGGGAGCCTGATTTGGGACTCGATCCCGGGACTCCAGGATCATGACTTGAGCCAAAGGCAGTAGCTTAACCAACTGAGCCACCCAGGCGCCCTATTAATGTCTTTTTAATACTGCAAATCTCCTTACTGGGGAGAAATTTCGAATTTTTCCATTATGTCATATTCACAGAAAGTCTATCATTTTTACCAGAAATTTAAAAATTCACTGGAAATCATCTTTCTTTTTTGTGTGTCACTTTCCACTTCCTTTTTTCTGTAGGGGAGATAAAAATGACATACCTTTTTGAACCTGAATGAGAAGAAAGAATATTAATTTTTTCCCAAACTTTTTGTTTTGAGACCCATAGGTTATCAAAAGATTAGTAAAATGAATATATGCTATATATGCTTCACCTGTATTCACCAGTCGTTAGCATGTTACATTACATTCATGCAAGTGCTCTTTTACTCAACTATTTGAATGCGAATTGCAGCCATCATAATACTTCATCCTTAAATACTTCAGTTTGCATCTCCTAAGAAGAAGCACATACCCTTTGTAGCCCTGATAACATATTACACCTTAGAAAATGAACAGTGATTTCATAAAATCATTTAATATGTAGTCCCGTAGTCAGATATGTCTTTAAGCCTTTTTCGGATTTGGTATCTAACCAAGGGCTATGCATTCCTCTTGATTATACCTGTTTTGAATCTCAATCCAGAGCATTCTTCCCACCTTTTTGTTGTTTGCTCTTAGCTTATTATATAATCTAAAATTTATTAAATTGAGAGATACCTGGATGGCTCAGTCAGTTGAGCCGCAGGCTCTTGAATTCATCACAAGTCATGATATCAAGGTTGTGGGATTGAGCCCCTGTTGGAGTCTGTGCTAAGTGCAGAACCTACTTGAAATTCTCTCTCTTTCTCTCTGTCCCCCACTGTTGCTCCCCCTGGTCTTTCTCTCTCTCTCTAAAATACATAAATCTTTTAAAAATAAAATAAAATTTATTAATTGACATGCATTTTCATTTGGCAGTGGGCCCCACAAATTATGTAGCCAGTCCTAGATGCAGCCACATTATGGACAACCTTGAAAACCAAGAGGAGTTGTATTTGTGTAGAAGGCACTGGAACACCACTATGTGTTTTTAAATGTAAATTTTGTGATAAAAACTATATAGTGATAAAAGCTTTGATTCTAGACATAGATACACCTCTGTTCTTTTTTTTTTTTTAAGATTTTATTTATTTATTTGATAGAGAGAGACACAGGGAGAGAGGGAGCACAAGCAAGGGGAGTAGGGGAAGGAGAAGCAGGCCTCCCACCGAGCAGGGATCCCGATGCAGGGCTCGACCCTAGGACCCTGGGACCACAACCTGAGCCTAAGGCAGAGGCCCAACCCACTGAGCCGCCCAGGTACCCCGATACACCTCTGTTCTACTATTTTCTCTCTCTGTTCTAATAAGGTCTTGCCAATGGACAATTTTTTTTAAATTGCCTAAGCTTCAGTTTTATCTGTAAATCAGGGATTATACCATTGTTAGGAGGATTAAATGAGCACATAGTTACTCCTTGATAAGTGTTAACTACTATTATTACAAGTTT